CCAGAGCTGGGCAGGGGAACAAGAGTAGGTAGCATTGCCTTCAGGAAAACTATGCCACACTTTTTTGACCCTAAGCTTCTGACTATAACAAAGGTCCATCTTTTTAACAACCATATTTCCCCAGTGATGACGTATGACGGGCAGTTATGGAATACCACCATTTCTGAAGAATATAATTTTTCAGGACGCTAGACTTATTGTTGCATATGTTGTAGGTAGAATGTGAACTTCTTGAGGGTAGTAGGGGCTGTTTTGTCAGTGCCCTCCATCTCCAGTATCTAGGGCAGTGCCTAGCACATGGAAGTAAGTTTTGTTGTTCAGTCATTTCCATCATGTCTGATTCTTCATGACCCCATTTGGGGTTTTCTTGGCAAAGATACTGGAATGGTTTGCCATTTCCTACTCTATCTCATTTTATAGATGAGGGAACTGAGGCAAACAGGGTTAAGTGACTTGCCCAGGGTCACACATCTACTAAGTGTCTGAGGCCAGATTTAAACTCAGGAAGAGGTGTCTTCCTGACTCCAGGACCAGCACTCCAACCACTGAGTCACCTAGATGCCCATATTGAAGTAAGTACTCAATAAATATTGATTAAATTCAATTTTACTCATACCTATGACAATTCAATCACAATTAGGGCAGGACCAGCATCTCTTACAACCCTGCCCAAGGGCAGCAGCTAGAAGGACAGATCTGAAATTGCACAAGATAAAGAGAAGCAGCAGCTTTTACTTTGAACCAGGCTCCATTTCTCTCTGCCCCTCAATCAGCCTAAGGTCCTTTACTGATCTAAGAGGAGGATGTCTCAGGCAGGGATCACCACCAAGAGCTCAGAGGCACCTTCCTCTAGTTCTTTGCATGAGAGCTATGGAAAGCCTGACCTTTGGCCTCTTTGATGGGCTGATGCTAGAGCACCCCCCCTTGGGGAGGATGGATGACAGGGTGGGGAGATTCCATCTCCAAACTCTACTCTCAATCTTCCTGAGGAATCCAGTCCCTCCTGACTGACAGTCCTTCAAGGGTGACTAGGAGTCAGACCTAAATGAGTTCTGGGGCTCAGGTTTCAGTTTTCCTACCAGGTGGTTTGGAGACTTTGCTTTAAGATAAGCAGACTGTGAAGACTGAAGGGCAGAGAGAGAGAGAGAGAGACAGAGAGAGACAGAGACAGATACAGAGAAAACAGAGAGACAGAGACAGAGAAAGACAGAGAGACAGAGAGAAATTGGTCTCCAGGAAGTGGTCAAGTGATGAGCAATGAACCAAGGCAGAGAAGAGATGCAAGCTGTTTAGAAGGCAGAGAACTATGGCCTTTATCACAGACCAGGCTTTCTTAACCTATGGTTCATGGACAGATTTCAGGAGGTCTGTGCATCTGAGTGGGAAAAAATATATATATATATCTCTTTATTTTTACTCGCCTCTCACTGAAATTTAGAATTTCCTTCAATCACTTAAAAACATGATTCTGAGAAAGGGTCCATAGGCTTCACTCAATCACCAAAAGGCCTAGGACACAAAAACAGGTGAAAAACTCCTGCCATAGATAGAGTCCCCATGGGGCTGTGGGATTCCCAGATTCAGCAGATCTTCAGGCAGTGGGAAGAAAAGATTAGGTAAATAGACTCAAGAATATCAAAGTACAACTTTACGGCATATTCTCAGAAGCTAGGACATGACCCTGGTGTAAGGACCTTGGATGGGTTGGGTGGCCCGTTATGGCAGTAGTTAATACTGACATGGAATTTTTAAGTTGTCTAAAGCATTTCATGTGTCTTAAGACAATCCTATGAGGTACAGGTATTACAGACTCTAGTGTAATTTTATAGAGGAGGAAATGGCGCTTCAGAGAAATTAATGACTTGCCCGTGCCCACCCAGACAGGTCTCCACTGATTCCAGGTCCAATGCCCTTTCTATAATATCACTTGCCTCTCATTGGCCACCAGAGGATCTTGGGAAAGTTGTATGTAAGAAGTTAGCCATTAAAGAATTCAATTCAACAAACATTTATTAAACACCTATCAAATATAAGATATTATACTAGAGCCTGGGAGGACAAAGAACTATAAAAATGAAACCATTTTTTGCCTTCAAAGAGCTTGTATTTTAGAAGACTGAGGAATACAATATGTAGACAGAGAAATAAACACAAGATAAGGGAGGTGGGAGAAAATACTAGCTATGTGGGAAGAGAGGCAGGGACAGACAAGAATCAGGAAACACTGGAGGAGAGAGCATATTCCGGTCAGAAAGACAGACCATGCCAGAGCAAGATGGGAGATGGAATGTTGAGTTTAAGGGACAATCAGGATGCCATTTTGGCTGGAAGGGAGAATGACTGGAGTAGTCTGAAATCAGCATGGAAAGGAAAGTTGGGACCAGATGGGGCTTAATGCTAGGCTGAGGAGTTTGTATCTTATCCTAGAAGCAAGACTTTTTGAGCAAGAGAATAGCATAGTGAAGTCATATTTTAGGAATAGTAATTTAATAGCTGTATGGGGGACTGATCGGAGAGGGGAGAGACACTGGAAACAAAGACATGAATTAGGGGGCTGCTGTACAAGGTCAGGAGAGAGAGGAAAAGAACCTGCACTAGAGGGGCAGCTAGGTGGCACAGTGGATAGATCACCAGCCCTGAATTCAGGAGGACCTGGGTTCAAATCCAGCCTCAGACACATAACACTCACTAGCTGTGTGACCCTCGGCCAGTCACTTAACCCCATTGCCTAACAAAAAACAAACAAAAAAAAAATCCTGCACTAGGATTGTAGCCCCGAGAGTGGAAAGAAGGCTCCAGATGGGAAATTTTGTGGGGATGGAATGAACGAGACTTGGAAAACGACTGGATATGAGGGATGAGGAAGAGGAAAGAGTCAAGGGTGACTCTTAGGATGTGAATCTGGAGGATGTGATGCCTTTAACCACAATAACAACACTAATAACCAGCTTAGGGTTTGCAAAGTTTTTTTCTATATCACTTGATCCTCACACCAACATTGGGAGGTGGACATATCATTATCTTCCTTTTACAGATTCAGAAACTAGGTCAGACTGAGGCTAAGTGACTTGCCCAGGGTCACATAACTCACACAAGGAAGGCGCTCATATGGCGGGCTGAAGAAGCGATATAAGGACATTCTCAAGGTCTCTCTGAAGAACTCTGAATTGATTGCATGCATGACATGGGAGTTTCTAGCAAAGGACCAGACAGCAGAGAGTACCTGCATCAAAGAAGGTGCTGTGCTCTACGAGCAAAGCAGAATTGCAGTAGCTCAAAAGAAACATGAGACATGCAAATTTAGAGACATCTCCACTCCAAATGTTCATACGGACTGTATGGGTCAGACCTAGGGTAGGGCCTTCCAAGCTTGTATTAGTCTGATCAGCCACAGTTGAATATACTGTATGTTGCCTCTAACATAGTGATATCATTTTGATTCTTTTTGAGAATGAAAGATGACCACCACTAATCAAGCATCCTGAGGCTAGATTTGAACTCAGGTCTTCCTGATGCCAGAGCAGCATCCTATCCGCAAGACCTAGCTGCCTCTAAACCATTTTAGAGCAAGAGTAGGCATAGAAGAGAAGATGACTTCTGTTTCGGACATGTTGAGTTTAAGACGTCTTTGGGACATCTACGCGGAGAGAGAGAGAAACTTACTATATGACCAAGTTCACATCCTCACTCCACTATTTGCTCCCACACTATTTGTGTGACTGTAGGGAAAGTCTCTTGGGCTCTCAGGGCCTCAGTTTCCTTGTCTGCAGTTTCACATGCAATCATCTTTTTTATTGTACTGTGTTGTGGAAATGCTTGTTTTATTTCATAAATTAAAATAAAATGAACTAAAAAACAAGAGAAACAAGAAAGACAAGAATGTTGAACTAGTTGACCCGTAAAATCCTTGCAAGATCTAATGTTATAATTCTCTGACACCAGCCAATTGCTTTCACTAGCATGCAGGCGAATGCCCACTGCTACCTCCTCTGTTGCTTTGCCAGTTGGTCCTGATGTCCGCTCAAACCCTCAGCCAGTACACATAAGCCCCTTTAGAGTCAGTGGCTGGCCAAGGGCCAACAGTAAATTTCACCTTCTCTCCACCATCTTCCCATTCTCCTATGAGATCTGGTAGTTGGCACACTCATCCCCACATCTACAAATCTATCTGGTTTCCATTCCCAATTCTTTCTCTCCTCCAGTGGTTAGTGCTCTCCCTCTACATATATCAGAAAGGTCAGAATTTTGGAGTGTCACTTCTCAAAGACTTCCAAACTCTGTCATACATCACAGCTGCGACTGTAAGAGTGGCCTTAAGACTTAGTGGGCCCTCAAAACTGGCCCTTCCAGAGCTGCTTTGAGTGTCGGGGTGTGATCCATCACCTCTTTCGTGTTCCGTATGCCTCCCAGACCACCCTCAAGACCCCCTCCTGGTCCCCTTCTGCTCACTGGCACCAGCTCCTGTTGCTAAACAAACACCACTTGGTGGAGGGAATCCAGAGCAGCAAAGGCGGGGATTTTTAACTCCAATCTGCTGGCCAGGAAGGAGCCATAAGTCCCCACCTCCAGCTGCCTTCTCCAAAGCCCTTACTGATGGAGACTCATTTTATGGCCTCAAGAGCTACTCTGGGATTTTCCCAAGGAAATTGGGAAGGGGAGAGGTCAGAGATTAAGTTACCCTCATACTGTAGTGGAAACACTGAAATATAAATCAAATTAAATGCTTTTGATCCTGGGGGGAAGGGGTGCACTGGGCTTTCCCAGAGTGAGGCTCCCCTTTGCCCTAGTGATAAACAGTCTAAGACCTCTGAGTCTAGGGAGATAGAATCAGCTTCCGGTCACTGCTCCTTCCCTGTAGAATCAGTGATGGTCTGGGTAACGTCTGCCTGTGCGGTCAGAGCAGTCTGTAGTTACAGACTTCTGGGAGCTCCATGCAAATTCCTCTATCACCGCAGTCCTGTCCTAATCTCTACACAAGACACATGTGAAAAGACACCTACTTATGCCTCCCAGGTCGGCGCTGTCTGTATCCATCCCACTCAGCCGGCATTGGTCAGAGCTGGAGATGGCCTCCTGTGATGTCCTGTTGCTTCTGTCCAGGATGTCTGGCGCCCCTGGGCACACGTCTATGTCCTTGACAGGGGGCTTTGTAGCAATCGACGTCTCAAGGGAAGAGGAAGAAACCTGTAAAAAAAGGAGATGATCAGATGTGATGAACCACTGGAGGATTCCTCTTTACGCCCAAGACCCTCTCTTTCCATCCAGTGTCAGGCACCATTGTCATCCTCGGTCCCACTGTGGCTTCAATCCCACTTCAAGACCCTCAACTGTATGCCCTTGAGCCCTAATTTACTTTGCCAGGGAAGACTTGTTAGCCACTGGAACAGAGGGGAGCCAAAGGCACACGTTGGAGTGAAAAGCATGCTGGGTTTGAAACCACAGGCCCTGGGTTTGAATCTTGGCTCTGCTTAGATATTGGTTCTATGACTGGGTAAAAACAATTTTCTTTCTTAGAAAAGAAATTTCTTTCTCAGTTTTCTCATCTATAAAAGGCAAGGTGAGGGTTGGCGGATAGGATCATATATTGAAAGCTGGCAGGGTCCTCTGAGGTCTTGCGGTCTAACCCCCTTGTTTTACAGAAGGGAGCTTAAGTGATCTGATCAAGGTCATACAGATAGGCAAGATTTGAACCCAGGTCCTTAACAGAACCAGCACTCTTTCAATTATAACCCCCGCCCCAATTTTTTATGTACCATGTGCCAGAAATTATGCGAAGGGTTTTACCACGTTATCTCATCTGATTCTCATAACAACCCTGGGAGGTAAGTGCTGCTATTATCCCCATTTTACAGCTAAGGAAACTGAGGCAAACAGTGGTTTAGTGACTTGCCAAAGGGCATCCAAAGGTCATATAATAAACCTCTGAGACTGGATTTGAATTCAGGTCATCCTGAGTCCAAGCCCTGCATTCTATCCACTGTACCACCTAACTACCATTTTGGTATAAAATACCAAGAATAAAGAATAGTATAAAATGAGGGTAGAGAGGTAGATTTTAAACAGATAGTGAAAGTGTCTCACTACCAGATTTTAGAATTTGTACTATATTTGGCAGGCAATGGGGGCAGCTGGGTGGTACAATGAATAGAGTGATGGGCCTGGAGTCAGGAAGACCTGAGTTCTAATCTAGCCTCAGACACTTACTAGTTGTGTGACCCTGGGCAAGTCACTTAATCCTGTTTGCCTCAGTTTCCTCATCTGTCAAATGAGCTGGAGAAGGAAATGGCAAACCACTCCGGTATCTTTGCCAGGAAAACCCTAAATGGAGTCAGGGAAAGTCAGATGTGACTGAAAAGACACAACAAAAATGGGGAGCCCAATGAAAGGAGGATGACAGTATCAGGGATGTATCCAATTAGGAACAAGGGTGAAGAAGTGAAGTCCTCAATTACCTCCCCCAGTACCCAACACAGTGCTTTGCATGCAGTAGGCACTTAATAAGTAACTGTAAAATAAATCAATCAATCAGTGGGTAATGGAGCTGAACATTATCTGAATGACTCTCAAAGTCACAGGCCTCTAAATCTTGCCTAAAATGATTAGTAAAATGAAGGACTAGAAATCTGTCATCATTTTCCCCGATAGTTTAATTTCCTGGACTCCATCAGTGGAAATTGGGGCAGTCACCAGGTCAGTCCCATTTTCCATTTATTACTGAGGCAAATTTAATGGAAAGAAAGTTGTATTTGGAGCCAGCGGACCCGAGTTTGAATCCCAGCTCTGTTACACACTATATAAAGAATATTCCTCAGCCTTCCTTTGACAACTGAGGATTGTGTGAGCTTGGACAAGCTGCTTAACCTCCTTGAGCCTTAGTTTCCTCATCTATAAAGATGTTCTCTATGGTCCCTTCTAGTTCAAGATTGATTATCCTTTTATTACACATTTTCCTTGAGATACCACTGGGTTTCCACTTTGGAGTTTCCAGACGTGTTACTTTCAGACTCAGTCACCTGACTTGCTTTCACTGGCGAACTGAACTACACAAGGAGGTTCTCCTCCAAAAATGAGGAAATCCCACATAGCTTAACAACAATATGCAAGGATGAGCTTGGAAGTCAGGGCCAATTAAGTGAGTTTTCTGGTAAATTGAGTTACCCAGAACGCCCTTCCTGTTTCATACCCTTGCTGTTAAAAACATTTCTAAATTGGCTTGGTAAGTCCAGTGTATGAATGAATGAATGAAAAACACTACTAAGCTACTAGGTTACTACTCTTGGTAAGTCCGGTGTATTAATGAGTGATTGAATGAACGAATGAGAAAGTATCTCCTAAGTTACTAGGTCTTGGTAAGTCTAGTGTACAAATGAGTGATTGAATGAATGAATGAGAAAGTATCTCCTAAATTATTAGGTTAAGTTACTAGG